AAGTCCGATAGGTTATCACTAGGGAAGGTTCAAGGCCGAAAGCTACCTATCCTGATGCAAGATTTTTTCGATTTATATTTTTTCGACAAATTCTGCATATTGTTGCATTTCCATTGTCATCAAATTCCATTCATGTGGGGGATTGTTAGAAATGGTTTTGGAAAATTAATTTTTTCCTCAACTTTGGTCTATTTTTTAGGTGGGACCCATGCGCCAAAGTTGGCGGGTCTAAGTGGTAACGCGTTCTATGCCGCGTTGTGATTCACGTAGTATATTTAGTTGCTCAAAACCAATATCAGGTGAATGAGAAATTGAAGTCAAAGTGAGCTCCATGAAAATGGAGTTTTTGGTAGAAATTCCTTAAGGTTTGAATTAAAGGCTTGTCCCACATTGGTTAAAATGGGAGAGGAGTTGAAGTTTATAAGGCTTGAGTTTGGTTCCATTTGATTGTTGTTTTGAGAATTAGTTATTTTAATTTTTTTTAAAATTTTTTTATAAAAAGACGCGTACAAATAAAAAGAATAGTAAATTTTTTTGTAATAATTTTTTAATTTTTTAACTATTTTAATCTATCGCCAAAAAACTCTAATGACAACTCAACTCACTTGAAATTTCCCACCCAATACAATACAAACAATAATGAATGTTAGGTAAATTTTTAGGCAACAATAATAATATTTTGTGTAAATTTTTTATTTTGTTAGGTACATCTAATCTAAATATACTTAAAAAGTATAATATTTGTGAAATTTTTTTAAAAAATTTACCAAATACAAAAAAAAAAAAAAATTGAAAATTCAATACAATTTCGTATTTTGTTATATTCAATGAATTTTTTAAAGATTTTTGTAAAAAAAAATTATTCTTTTTAAGTATACCAAGATCAAGTGGATCTAAAAAGTACAAAAAAAATAAATTAAAATATTTCAAAAAATCATTAAAAATACAAAAATAAGAATTAAAAATTGAAAAAACTGTTTTTGAAAATTCCACAACAAATAAGTTGCTTTTCATCATCCTCATTTTAAAACGAATACTCTCAATCCTAACTTAACACACTTCTCCATCCCTTCCTCTTTTCCTGCCACATAGGTAGTATCTTACCACACTACAAGAAATGTCACTTTTGGTTACTAAAATATTAGTCACCAAAAGTCACAAATTTGGTCGCTGAAACGATTTAGCGACTAAAAGGTTTTGTCGCCAAGTTCGTCGCCTATACCCTGTCGGCGATAGTATTGGTGACTAAACTTAATTTGGCCGCCGAAAGTGTAACATTTGCCTACTAAACTTCTTTTGGTCGGCAAATGTTAGCTTTTCGCCACTAAAACCAGTAATCGCCGAATGTGACTTTTGGCTACTAACATTCGTGTGGTCGGAGAAGGTGTTACTTTTTGCTACGAAAGAATTAGTCACCGAAAGTTAACATTTGGCTACGAATCCGTACTTAGTCGGCAAACGTGACATTTCGGCTACTTATTTTTTAGTCACTAAAAGTTCTACATGAAAATTTTAACCAACTATTAGAGACTAAATATTTTAGTCACCAATAGAATACATTACTTTTTGCCACTAAATGTTTTAGTCGCCAAATGATATCCTTTTTTTTCCGTGACTAAAAATTTTAGTGGCCAATAGTTTCTTTCTCTCATTCTCAATTTTTTTAGCTACTAACTATTTAGTCACAAAAAAATTTTTGGTTATGTTTTTGCTACTGAATTATTAGTTGCCAAGACATTTGATTACGTATTTGGCTACCAAAATATTTGGTAGCCAAATACTTTTTGTTTTTTTTTTTTTTTAAAAAAAAAAAAATCTAAACAACCTGTATCCATTTTCAGTACAACATGTATACTGTATAACCAATATAATCCATCAACGCTAAATATATTATCAACCATTCAAGCATTTAACAATGTCCACACATTTTAGCTCCAACCATCCAAAACATTAATATTGAACGTCTAATTCTATATATAATAAAAATTCCATACGAACCAAGTCTAATCCAACGTCAATAATTTCATTTCATACATAATATAGGACTAACCAAATTAATTAACAAAAAGGAAATATGTACCACAACCTAAATTAGCATATATGCTAATTTCTACCATGCCAAATTAGCTTATATTTACCACACCAAAAAAGTAATTTGTACAAACCACTATATATACGGGTAGACGTATAAAAACAATGCCCTTCCGTACTTGTCAAAAAAAAATCATATCCACATTTGTATGTCTAAAACCATCTGCAAATAAAAAAAAAATGTCAAAAGTTATGTTTATGGCAATTAAAGGGGCCACAGTCAACAAAAGCAGTAAACAATTTCCCCAAAATATAACCGTACATAAACTAATAAGGAAAGAGTTAAGCAAACTATAGTTTAAGATGGTAGTACCAAAATAGTTGCCCACGACATGGGCATTTCATGTTCTACCACATATAGATGAGAATTCTTTCCTGGATTTGATCGAAAAAAATTTCAAAAATATATAGATTATGATATAAAAAATTTCAAAAATATAAAAATTTCAAAGGTAGTATTAGGGCATATACAATGTATTTATATATATATATATATATATGTGTGTGTGTTTATATATAGATGATAATATTTTAATTTCAAAAATGCTTAATATCTCTCAAGTTGAACATAAGCAAATTTTGCTGCTATTTGCAACAAATCATTACCAAAGAGATTGATGGCATGAACCATTAGCATAAAATTTAAAGGACTTTTTTCTTAATAAATCAAAGGAGTGATTTCTTAAGATTAATTACAAACCAAAGTGGAGCAAATGTAGATGACAAATCAAGAAAAGGGTATGGCCACCTGTTGCAAATAGTTACAGTTATAGGAAATTAGAAGTGAGATTTTTGTAATAAAAAGAAAAGAGTGTTAAAAGGGAGACGAGTTTACCAAAGCGAAACGCAAGCATGGACGATCCATTTTAAAATGTACATAAACAGCAGTCCACAGGAAAAAGTATGCAATTCGAAACCAAGGGAACCGCTGGAAGAGAAAGACAAGTCTAAAAGATTAAATTGTGAAGCAAAATAGGAATTGAAATCAAGATAAAAGAACTGCAACATACCAAGCAATTCAAAGCAGTGTCACCGAGCAGAAAAACAACATTGATGGTGTGCATATTTATAATCAACTGCCACGCCAAAGATTAAGCACACTGTTTAGAAGACAAACAGAAGTTTTGATGATGAATCTTATGGATTTGCATGATATCAACTTTGCACCATATGGGTTTTACTCAAGGAAGCTAAATGATTTAGAAATTGACACATAAGAGGTTGATTTCATGTAGTTATATATATATATATCTAATGATATAAAAAGTTTTATGTTATTGAAACAGAAAATACCCTGCATCTGTCCAAGCCCATGTTTTTACCTCTTCATTGTATTTGTTTCTAAAATCATGGAAAACGAAAGCAATATACCAAAAGGGATGTACTACACAGAGACAACCATATAGACATTATTAGTTCACAACTTTCATTTGTTTGTCTAACGTATAATGTGAGAGATCAAGCAAGTTCCTTGAACATTCAAATCTACAAGTTTCTTTCAATCTCAGGTAGATATAGCTATGCAAATTGGGAGCTCAAATCTCACATTTGCAAGAAGAAAAAAAAATTACACATTAAGCACAATTTCTACGTTATAACTCAAAAATTAAAGTAAAATCCAATATAATGGCCAAAGGGACCATTTGGAAAATACATGTACATTAAAGTGACAAAAATTGGACCATCCACTTAAATAGCAACGTGTCTAAGTAATACAGGGCATGCTACATATCCATTACTAGCACACATTTGTTAACAGTTAACTACAAAACCAAAAGAAAGAATTGTGCTTATTTTGAGAATTGTGCTCTGTTCCCAGCAGAAGGAAATGTGGAAATGGCATGAAAGATAGATTCCATTGGGCATTTTGTTAAAGACCATATAATGTCAAAAGGGTTAGAATTTCAATACACAATTCATATATTTCTATACACTTTCTACATATTCGAATCTACTTTTTACACATATACCCCATTAGATGGGGTGGTTAGCATTTCCTTTTTTTGGAATTACTTTTCCTAAAAGAAGATACCCTTAAAAGCTCGACGAAATGCCATTGCTTCTGCCTTCTGCACTAGATCTCCATAGCCTGCATCGTTTACAGGAGCAGTACCTGTTGACTCCGTATATATCTTATCAAAAACACAAAACAAAAGTGAAGAGCAACCAAGGTCAGTTCCCTCACACACACATATATTTTCCTATTGAGATTCATAAAAATTAAAAAAAGAAAGGAAAAGAAACAGGAAGGAGTGAGAGAGAGAACATATTAAAAAAAATGGTAATAATGTTGAACAATCTTATCCATGCAAAAGAAATAAATAAATTTATATTAACACGTTATATAATAGTTTTTATATAAAGATGTGGTTACAATATCTAAAAGCCACCAACCATAAATTATTTAAAACCCATTACATTCTTTCTTGACATTAGAAAAATGGACATAACAACCCTAAATAGGGTAATATAATAAATAAATAAATGAAAATCTATCAGAAAGTTCCTAGAACACATGCATTTTACACAAATCTGTCAGACAGTTCATAAAAAGAGCACATGCCCACAGTAGATGTAAGGTTCATATATGCAAGTTGAACATTGCCGGCATTTCACCTTATTATGCAACTGGAACAATTCATTGAAGCATATAAACAAACGGATAGTGAGCATAGATTCTTTGCACTCTTTTAACATAAAAAGAGCCAACACCATTGCATTGCCTAACAAGCTAAAATAAACACTGCCCACCATAAATATATTCGCCATATATAAAGGAAGAGAAAAGGGAGTCCTCGAGAGCACATTTGTTGAAATGGAGCTTCCTTAAGCGGTTGATGGTGTGAAAGACATGGCCTCTGTGAATGGGAAATCCATCACCCATCCAGCTCTGGAAGGCAGACCCAGCAGGCTCTGTTCTTGGGAGCTTCTCAATCCTCCAATACAAACTCTTTAGTTCTTCTTCTTCTTCTTCTCTTCCTCCTTCGTGGGTCGAAACTGAAGTCTCATTCTCAGATGAATAATGATTATGAGGGGGGAGGGTGGAGAAGCTGAAACTTGAAGAATGGAATTGGGTAGTGGCAGAGAGAGAGATTGAAAGATAGAGAGAGGGCAAAATAGAGAGAGGACATACCATGGGCAATGCTCCAATGGTGGATTGACGATGGTGCTCGTGTGCAATGGCAGTGATGCTCCCGTACCTGACGACGATAGAGACAAAGGCGAGAGAGAGAGAGCTGGAGGAGGGCAGAGGCGTGAGAGAGAGAGAGAGAGAGAGAGAGAGAGAGTCACAAAGTGAGAGACAGACAAACGTACGAGAGTCTGAGCGTGTGGAAGTGTATTTGTTAAACCTAGTTTATTTTCTTTCCCGACCAATTCTTGTAGTCGCCAATAATAAATAAAGATGTTTTCCCGACTAACGATTTTAGTAGCCAATTAATTTTCCCTCTAAAATTTGAAGTCCAATTTAAAAAAATTTCAATTATAATCGCCGACTAAAATTTAGTCGCTAAAAGTAAATTAATACTGACTAAAATATTTTTAGTAGCTAAAGATTATACATTAGGGACCAAAATTTTTTTAGTCGCCTATAGGGTAAGTTATTAGTGACTAAGTCATTTTTAGTCGCCTATTTGGTAACTTTTTAGCTACTAATTGTATTTTAGTCGCCAATAAGTAATATACGGCTACTAAAAAAATTTAGTAGCTAAAATATGAAACATTGCCGACCAATTCAAAATTTAGTCGCCAAAGAGCTGACTTTTGGCAACTAAATTAATTTTAGTAGCCAAATTTGGTCGCCAAAAGTGTAATTTCTTGTAGTGCCACTGCTTCTCCCGTTTGATAGCTCTCGTCCTTTTCATCCATGCAAGAACCACAACCCCTAAGATTATTTAGGGGTTGGGTTCCTTATACAGCCGTCATCCGAACTGTTTACATTAGGTTAAACATATGTCCATCTAATCTCGACTGGCACACAGTTTGAAATCAAACCGCTTAGACCATTCCAATTCACGGTCGATTTGTAGTGGTCGGGTGGTGATTTTATCATTTTGGCCTTCAAAGAGAAGTGATCAAGAAGAAACAATGAATAAATGCAGAAGAAAAATGTGTTCTTGAGTTGAGACGCATCTGTAGCAGCGCCCGCGTGGGCCTCGTGCTACAGTTCGGACTCGATTTGTGTCACGGTTCTTAATCTGAACCAAAGAGTCCAAATCTGGCAAATCGTTTT